AGATAAAATCAATAACGTCAAGAATAAAGTAGAGCATAAAAAGCTTTGAACTGGCTATTTACAGAAAAAGACATACCCTGCTTTTCTATTGGTGTTTAAAAAAAACAACCCTCAAATGTAGGTGGGTTAGGAAAGAACAAGTGTTTGTTCCAGAAACTTCTCGCCATGGGGTATGTCGACTCCAGATCTGAATATTAATCCTACTCAACGGTGGGTCCGACATAGCTCCAGGACTCGTTTTTGGAAGCCAAAGAAAAACGCTTTTGCCGAAGACGATAAGGGGTTGGTTTGTCATTAGAGGGACTGATAAAACGGTTTTTATGGATTTAAAGTGTTAAGGGGGGGTGGTTTTGTTTTGTTTTTGTGTTTAATTCCCATTATTATTTTTTTGCTTTTTCTGACTCAATTGGAAAGGGGGGGGGGGCTTTAAAAAATTGCTTCTAGTCAACTTTATGCGATTCAAATAAAATATGTTTCCTGTACTATGTTTACTATGTTCCACCTCTCTCTCTCTCTCTCTCTCTCTCTCTCTCTCTCTCTCTCTCTCTCTCTCTCTCTCTCTCTCAATTTGTCAGTAGGTAATTTCATGCATAAGATAATTATACGGGTTGTCCTAATTAAAATGAACAAACAATTTAGAATTCAGATATGATCTTATACGGCCGCGGAGAATTTGTATTGCTGTAGTACCTGTATTTCTAGGGAGTGAAACTAGATGAAATACTATTTCATGCATGCCATGGACACAATCCCTTTTATGTATTGCAGGCGTAGTCGCTCAGCTTCTTCTTCTTCTTCTTTTTGTATTTTTGTTTTTTGCTTAATAGAAATAACATACTTGTTATTAAAGAAATCGTTTTCACTTTGTTGGGAATAAAAACAAATCTGATCTGTACTCTGCAAAGACACACCCAACCCCCCCCAGGTAACAGAACTTGTCCACTGTCTCAAGTCACAAAAAAGTATAAGCAAAGTTATATCAAGACACATCCACTAAAATGTTGGCAAAATATACATTTACTAGAGTTTACCTCTCTTACTTTAAGTTGCTTTCATCATCTATAAACACAATCATACTGAACAAATAGCACGCGTCGTTGGTCAGTAATCTAATGGTTAAGCTACCGGACTCGGACTCGTTAGTTCGTGGGTTCGTGGGTTCGTGGGTTCGTGGGTTCGTGGGTTCGAGGCTCAGCTTGGATCAATAGTTTCTACCCAGAGCGGTGTTTATTTTATGCTAATAGGTTAAACAGAAAAAAGAAGGGGGGAGGGGTTATGGAGAAGTTTGTGATGCTGAAAACTTGGAAGGCAAACCTTTCTGTTTACAAAGGAGGAATAGCCTTTAGTACTCGTATACTAAGACTTACAATTAAGGCTACAGAGTTGTGATTCATAAGACACACGATGCTGCGTATCCCAGGGACAGCTCGGAAAACAAATGAGGAAGTCTTGGTTGAAGCAAATTGCAGGCGACAGCTTATGACGAATGTAGGAAAGCGACAGGCAAAGTTAATTGGACACATAATGCGGAATGAAGCAATGGAGAATATTGTAACAACAGGCAAGTTTGATGGGAAGATAGGCAGAGGCAGACAGATTGAAAATATACTGGACAACATTGCTGGGAACAGCAAGAACGACAGACACCATCGCTGCAACGCGAGACAGAGTGAAGTGGAGGTTCATGATCGCCCACGCCAGTCGGCATGGCACCGGATGATGATATTGATACATAGACTTGATAGGTACACTCTTTGCCAGTGCAAAAGGGGTGAATCCAGTACCGGAGAAGGGAAGTTGTTTTTCGATGAGTGTCTCCGTCTGTGTACTGGGGTGCTGTGCCACACTCAACCTGAGTCGGTCCCGAGAGGCAGGGTCGAAGCAACCCCTATACCGCATTCCCCTACTCCTTAGAAAAAAATATTTTATCCTGCCTCCTTTTACAATCACTGCAATCATAACAGGAGCATCCTCAGATGTGATTAGAAAACCACTTTGCCAATACTCCGATCTCTAATGGGTGGAAATCAAAACATGAAAATGTCATTTCAAACTTGGAATTTTGTCTTACAAGCAATGTGTGTGTGTGTGTGTGTGTGTGTGTGTGCTTGTGTGTTTACACGCGTGTGTGTGTGTGTGTGTGTGTATGGTCTGATTTCAATCTAAAAAGGCTAACCATGATTCCACGGTAGGAAAAACGCACATCTTCGAGTAAAAAAAACAAAACAATGCTCAATAAATATACGTTTAAAAAAAACAGAACGTCCTTTATGCCGCTAAACAAAGTTTATTCTTTATAGTCATAACGATCTCCATTTCTTATTCATGTCGAAAATGGAAACCCTCATCACAGGCAGTAAAAATTCATTATAAGTCTGCAAACTTTAATTTATGATTTCTTCAATATATTATATGTATAATAATATATATGACGCACAAAAGTCATGCATAAACGTGTGCTCACGTCATCTGGTAAAGATGACACCATAGTTCTCCTTTTATGTTATTTGTTATTGTCAGTTTTGCTCGCTTCGAGAGACTGACAACAGCCCAAATGTAACATATTGAATATGGTTATAATACAAACAAACACAGCGGCGAAAAAAAATTTTATTGTACGTACTCTTACTACAGAAAGTATATAATGTTAGGTAGAGTTTTAAAAAGATGATTTATTCAACAACAAAAAACTCCCAAGATGAGATGATTAAATATACATGTGCGTAGATAGAGGATGGAGGAAGAGGAGGAGTAGGAGAAGGGGGGGGGTGGATATGTTTGATGTTTTTGTGCCAGCGGATTGCGGCGAGGAAATAAATGCAATAATGGAGACCCGAGAACAGTACCAAGCCTTGGTCCAAAATCCCACATTTAAAAACAAGTGGATTGTTGTAATCTGTAAATTGAGCGTTATTGTTCTGTCTTTCCCGTTCTAAGAATGGTACACAGAACACGGTACGGAGAGGGATTATGCAAGGAAAAAAAAAAAGATAGGTACGGTTGAACCCAAGCCAAATTATTACATGACTAAGTCTGCCGATGTTTTTTAAAAGACAAAAGGTTGCTGTTTTGCTCAATTCGACAGAACACAGATTTTGGCCTAGTCTCGTGTTCCGGCGCTCAAATCCACGTAGCAGTGACATACGAGCTTATCAAAATCCGTTGGCGTATTCTATTAGCCCCTTAGTCGAGTACTCGCTGAACTTGGACTTGTCACCAAACATGTAATGTTCCGACATATCTGGGGAGTACTTGCTAGCCCCAGGCGTCCGGCCATAAATCTGGGGAATTATAATATTATGATGCTATTAATGTGTGCATTATCTCGATAATTAGCAAACAAAACGGCCCCATACAACAATCTCATAACAATCGCATGAGAGTCGCACAGCAAAGTCATTGACCCATAACAACGATCCCCAACAATCCAACAACAATGACTAAACAATCCAGCAACAATCAAGTAATGATTACACAACATTTTCACAACAGTTACACAACAATCCAACAACAATGACACAACAACCATATATTATAACAATTACATGTTTTTACAACAGTCACACAGCAATCCAACAACAATCATATAACAATTATACATTTTTACAACAGTAACACTGCAATCCAACAACAATGACACAATTTCACAACAATCACATAATCACGATAAACAATCACATAACCATCACACAGCAACCCAACAACAATGACACAACAAAGACACAACAAGCACACAACAAATTGCACACCAATTGCATAAACATAGCACAACAATAGGTTTGTTTAAGTAAAACAGTTTTATGGCAATTGCAACTCAATAAGGTCATATCATATGTGAGGCATCGCGGAGAAATCAGGCGCTCGTCAAAATAATGGAATGAAAGGTACAGGCATTTTCCCTCCGGTTTGGCAATATTATTATTTTTTTGCTTTTAGGCTAAAATCTTTTATGTCCATTTAAAAACGTGTTCTATATAGATTTTACTTTAAAACGTTGATTAAAGGCACAAAGAACGTAAACTTTCAGTTTTTAAAGAGTCTCAAGCCAAAGAAATCACCACATTTTCTCGTGAATTTTACCTCTGAAACCAGGTGACCCCCACCTTCTTCAATCGCAAATATATCGGCTATTATTCAAGATATATGGGAATTTTTTTCATCGATCGATAGACAAATGAACAAGCTTTAAGATGATACCAATAACCCAATATGACCAAAAATTGACGAGCGCCTGATTCTACCGTGCCATGACACATATGTGCCGAAGATTAGAGGTGTTACAAGAGAGTAACACACAAAACATAAGGAGGGGAGAAAAGGACTACAAAATATGTTTAATAGGAAAGAAGGAGCAAACCACACCACAGCACCCGCCAACCACCCACACCCAACAATATGATACAACAATACGCCAACAATTTCACAACATGGACAAAACAATCACAAAACATGTTCACAACTGCACAGCAATTACACAACACAGGCATGCGTTCAAAACAATGACCTAACAGTCTCCATGACAACCCGACAACAGTGACACAACAAAGACATATTATTATTTCCACAACAACAACACAGCAATCACACAATGATTACACAACAGTTTGACGAAAAGAGCACATCAACTACACACCAAAGACATAATTCCATAATAATGACCCACAAATTTACACTATAATACATGTAATTACATAACAAATTTATGCCTCCATATCTATTATCCGACAATTAAACAATATCCCAACAAATATCACACAACAACAACACAACAATCAAACAACAACAGCAGCCACAACAACAACAACAACAACAACAACAACAACAACAACAACAACAACAACAATAACAACAGCAACAACACCTCCGGCGTTGGCGTCTCTTCGGGGAGGATTCAGGAAGGTTGGACTGCCTCACCCGCTACCCAAGGGAGGCGGTGGCCCTGACGAAGAGAACGCTCTTCGGGCCCCCAAACATTTCGAACGGATAGGCTACCACACACCCACACGCAACAAGAACAACAACAACAACAACAACAACGCAACACTTACACAACAAAGACACAATTCTTCAACAACTACACAACAATCGCAACAGCATTCACACAACAAACACACACAACAACGACACACCAATGGACTCACTTCGGCCACGATCCTGAGATAGTGGGAGCAACTACCACAGCATAGGCCAATATAGTTCACCCCGATCTCACGGCACGCACGCGCGTACCTCTCGATGTCACTCCTCGAGCACGCGTGGCTAGGCAGGTCAGTGGGGAAAGCGCACTTGCCTGTGGGTCAGATGGTGAGTGGGTCGGGTGGAAAGTGGGTCAAATGGTAAAAGGTCCAGGTGGTGAGAAGGTCGGGTGATAAGTGAGTCAAACGGTGAGTGGGTCAGGTTGTGAGTTGGTCAAATGGTGTATGGGTCAGGTGGTCAGAAGGTCGGGTGGTATGTGGGTCAAACGGTGAGTGGGTCAGGTGGTGGTGGGTCCAAGGGTGGGTGGGTCAGGTGGTCAGAAGGACGATTGGTGAGTGAGTCAAATGATGGGTGGGTCAGGGGATAATTAGTAGGTCGGGGGGTAAGTGGATCAAACGGTGAGTGGGTCAGGTGGTGAGAATGTAGGGTGTTAAGTGGGTCAAATGGCCAATTGGCGTAAGTACGTCTGGTGGTAAATGGGTTAAATGGTAAGTGGGTAAGTTGGTACGTAGGTCAGGCGTTGGTGATGGCTGTTGTCGTGGTGCTCTAATGGTGCTGGTGATTGTTGTTGTTGTGGTGTTGTGGTGTTCTGGTGTCCCATATATCCAGTCTGAACTGCCGTAACCGATGCCGTGGGAAAGCGCACAGATTCTGTGTGAACAAAAGCTTCGTTCGGGGTTTAACTCTTTCTGTTTTGGGGGCACTTTTAAGAAAAATTCTTTATCTCGTTATTGAAACAGTTTTTGTTTAAAATTCTGTTTTCTATGTCGTCATCATCATCATCATTGCCTTTCTCACCCTGGACCAGGTTATAGGCCACGAACAAACATTTTCCACCTTTCTTTTTCCTGGGCTAGCCTTTTGATGTTTTTTGTCTGAAACTTACGACAACATGTGAGCGTGTACTGTGAAATATGAACATTGTTTTTTTTTATTTGCGAACGACGATTCAAATTGCCTTTTGTCTTCTCACTGACTGTGATATTATCTGATATTCAACGTCCTGATTGTCCTGCAATGTGGAATTTCGTATAAGTAAAGCATAATCCCCCACCCACCCAAACCCCCATGCATTCCTTCGTCACGACGTTCACTTTCAACTGTTTCCTGTTTCTGTAAGACGTTGCACTAAACCCCCTCTATGATCCCCATGATCAGAAGTTACGCAATAGCGGATGCAATTCGAAACATGGAACAATATTCAACTTTACCGTAAATTGTTTCTATCATACTGAGTGGATTTTGTTTCTGAAATATAAATGTAGTTGTCTCTAAGCCCCCATTGACACAATTTCGATAATTTAGGAGGCGGGCTTCCAACCCTGCCTGTTAGGGCCAATCCGGGCTAAGAGGGACCCAACATCCTGGCAAAAAGACAGAAATACTTGATAAAAAATGCCCCCCCCCCCCACCTCGGGAATTGAACTCGGGTCTCCTGCGCGCGACTGCCGAGCATCTAACCGTTGCACCACAGACACCGATAACTCCACTGTGATCTGTATGGTAACCTCGAAAGTTGCTCAATAGCTGATGCAGTTCGAATCAGGGACAATACTCAACTTTTACAATGAATTGTTTGTATACTGTGGAGATTTTGTGCCCAATTCTGTCGGGCCAAATAAGTGGCAACAGACACTGACCTGTGCAAGGGTCACGGAGAGACTGCATGGTGAGGCTCTCATCGGAGGTCCTGTATACAGCAGGCAGGCAGGCAATAGGGCCCTGGGGGGAATGGGATACACACACACATACAAAGGTGATTATCTGATTCCACAATGACTTGACGATCGATTCTTTTGAGTCCGTTCTTCGAACGGGTACCCAGCTTGTTTATTATATTTGTGAAAGTTCGTCACTCTGGTCGCCTAAAACTTTCAAACCACTTAACTTTCGAATTTGAAAAATTAACGGTGGTTCAGAGTCATTTAAAGGGTGTGCAGTTATATTAAAGAATCTGAAGTCACTGTACTTTAATAATAATAATAATAATAATAATAGATAGCATTTGTATAGCGCATATCCCCGCTCAACAGCAGGCTCTATGCGCTTTACACTATATAATTTTCAGTTTTTCATTTGTTTCGTTTAGATCTAATCCTGGGAAAGTCCGTTTCTACGACGCCATTGTAAACAAGGGGGGAGGCTTCCGTTCACAAGCAGTGCGCACTGGTTCCACAATCACTTGACGATCGATTCCTGTGAGTCCGTTGATCAAACGGGTACCCAGCTTGTTAAATATAGTTACCTGTACTGAATTGGATCAAGTGTAGTAAGCTGGTCAAATGTATTAAGCCCAGGAGGGAGAAAAAACTGTTTCATTCTTTTAGCAATTGTATCTAAATTACAAATTATGTACTTTTTCTTGCACTTTTTTTTCAAATTTTAAAAATGGAATTTCGACAAAATATTTCTTGAGTAAAAGCAACCGGCACCGTAATTTAAGAAACCGGTTTTTTTAAATGTCAAAACTTTCGGCTCAGTATTATTTCAACAATTGACTGTCAAATAGTTCTCTTTTGTAACATTGTGACTTGTAAAAGGTTGTTTTGAGTGTCACTGCACAGAGATCAAGGACTATCGACCTATCCATACATCCATCCATCCATCCATCCATCCATCCATCCATCCATCCATCCATCCATCTATCTATCTATCTATCTATCTATCTATCTATCTATCTATCCACATGTATTTAGCAAACTATCTAGCTAGCAAACTCGTATCTAGCTAGCAAGCTATCCAACTAGCAAGCTATCTCGTTATCAAGCTAAAAATAACTAACTAGCTATCATACATACGAAAGCTATCCAGAAAGTAAGGTGAAACGGTCACAGCTAAAAATAGAAGAAAACATTCTTCTCACAATATCAGAACATGGGGATAAAAGGCAATGCAATGCACATTGTGTCTATTAATCTGTCTCTCCATCCATACCTTGCAAGCCTTCCTGATTTCCCTCATCAGAGGTATCATGGTGTCTGGCCCTCTGTTACAGTTGAGCCCCACCACGGCCGCCCCCGCCTCCTCCAGCCTCCTACAGGCCTCGCCGAAAGGCACCCCGTCATACGTCATGGACTTGGCCGCCGGGCACAGAGTGACCACGGCAGGAACACCTTCGAGGGGGAAAAAAGGATGAAGGGGGGGGGAGGCAGTTGCAATTATAATCTCGTTATTTATTTATTTATGTATTTGTTTGTTTATCTATTTATTTATCTATTTATTTGTGTATGTTTTTATTTATTTGAAATGTATTTGTGTAATTTTTTTTTAATTTTTTTTTTTTGGGGGGGAGGGGTCAATTTTTCAGTAAATGAACTTTTAACAGATGTTTTTGAAGGCTGTTGTTTTTTAAGGGGATGAGAGTAGATAGACAGGTAGGTAGGTAGGTGGGTGAGTAGGTAGGTAGGTTAGAAGGTAGGGTGGTAGGTAGGCAGGCAGGTATGTAGGTAGGTAGGTACAGAGGTATGTACACGAATGTATTGCAGTTGTAACTAACATTTCCCTAAGAGGATCAATAAAAAGTATGTTTATCTTTTAAAATTATTACAGTAAGGACCAAGACAAATGTCCCTATCTGTTAGGCTAGTCAGTGCAGACGTTATTCTGAAGGAGGAGCTATA